CGATTTTGACATGTTTTGATCAAAATCCATGTGACTTCAGAAAAATAATCTTTGAATCACACACATGCGGTTATCAAATGTGCACGTGATGTACTCTTTCAGCATCAAGATAATGCGTTTGAAAGCCTTTAAAACTCCGAATTCATGTGTAAAAAATTATTTTGGGTACATTTTGCTCAAAACTTTTGACCTATACCACAGAGAAGAGTTACACATCTAAAAGTCATAGGGAATAATCTAACGAAAGTCTGAACTCGATACATGACGTAGGGAATGAAATATATTGATTTCTATTATATTGAGCCCGCAGTTTTTCATGTTCCCGATTCACTTGAGGTCCTATAACTTTTGTTCCTGTTGAACCAGCTTCTTGAAAATCAATAGTGTCCGTCCTTAATGTCCAAAGTACCTGTACACCAAATTTCAACACCATCGGCCACTTTTAAAAAGAGCTAGAGCGCACACGGACGGACGGACGGACGACAATACAATAATAAAAAGGATCCATAATAAACCGATACAACGAAATATCGAAGGATCCTCAGTATTGCAATAACTTTTAACGATAATTTATTTTAATGTTACAAAATACATCAAATTCATGTCTTGCCCATTGAGATAATGCTCTTAATCTTGTTTTGATCAAAATCCATGTGGTCGCCAAAAATAGATCAAATTCATGTTTTGATCATTGAGATAATGCTCTTGGTCTTTTTCCCAACGTTCTTGGTGCATAAATAACGATTTTGACATGTTTTGATCAAAATTCATGTGGTCGCCAAAAATAGATCAAATTCATGTTTTGGTCATTGAGATGATGCTCTTAGTCTTTTTCCCAACGATGTTGGTGCATAAATAACGATTTTGATATGTTTTGATCAAAATCCATGTGGTCGCCAGAAATGCATCAAATTTATGTCTTGAGCATTGAGATAATGCCCCTAGTCTTTTTCTCGACGATCTTGGTGCATAAATAACGATTTTGATTATTTTGATCAAAACCCATATGGCAATAATTTAACATTTTTGAATCACACACATGCGGTTATCAAATGTGCACGTGATGTACTCTTGCTGCATCAAGATAATGCGTTTGAAACCTTTTAAAACTCTAAATTCATGTATAAAGTGTAATTTTTGCTACATTTTGCTCTAAAACTTTCGACCTATACCACAGAGAAGAGTTATATTAAAGTATTACACATCTAAGAGTCATAGGGAATAATCTAGCGGAAGTCCCAACCCGATACATGACCTAGGGAATGAAATATGTTGATTTCTATTATATTGAGCCCGTAGTTTTTCCTGTTCCCGATTCACTCGAAGTCCTATAACTTTTGTTCCTATTGAACCAGCTTCCTGAAAATCAATAGCGTCCGTCCTTAATGTCCAAAGAACCCGTACACCAAATTTCAACTCAATCGGCCACTTTTAAAAAGAGTTAGAGCGCACACGGACGGACGGACGGACGGACGACAATACAAAACTATAAAGGATCTGAGGATCCTTAATAATGAAATGTCTCCATTTCTTAAGGCTTTCGACAATCGCACAAGATAGCAAAATCCGAAGCGTCAGTGTCGACAGTAAAAGATTCATCATCATCTATTGCTACAAGAGCAGCTTCCTTTATATGTGATTTAATATCTTGGTCCGTAGTACCATAAAGTCGTCATGGCCGGAGCATATGTCGAGGGATGTTCTTTGACAACTGTCAAGTGTCACGGGCCGACTTGTAATCATTTGTAATTGTAAACTATCGTCGCCTTGAACCTCTACGGCTACGCAAAAAAAAACCGCTGCTTTGAAAAAAATGAGGGTTCCGTGCATTGTGCCTAAATGTACAACGGGGTACAAAAGTGTTAAACAAAAACTTCTGTTTTTAAAGTGCCGAAATATGCGGAAATGCATGAAAAGTGGATGCTGCAATGAATGCGATTCCAAAATAGTACATTAAGAAACAAGTTTCATAAGTGGCGCGTTTATCGCACGAGTTCAAGTTTAGAAAACGAGCTGGGCTCATTGGAGAAATAAGTGCGCCAAAAACAGTCAATTTGCAACTTGTTACATAAATAGCTATTATCGGCCCTCCGATCGGACAACGTTGCCAAACTTCTTAGCATGGCTTGTAATTATAGACGTCTGTGGAATTACATTACGTCCTTTGCGCTGTTGCACCTTCGTCAAGTATGTTGACAAATGTAACATGTGTCATGTGCGTTTATCGTGTAATGTCAGTTTTGTGTTGGTTTGATAGCTCAATGTCATATTTATGGACAAAAATGCGAATAAGTGTGTAGGCGAACTGTTTAGATATAAAACATGGTTACTTGTTTAACTTGCGGACTGTTAGGTTGCAAGTCTGAAATTACATTTGACAGTTACCTAAGTGGTTTTGTTGCTATCTTTCAATTTTACCCCCACTCTTATAACCTCCTTTTATCAATTTCCGTCCCGTGCCCCTTTTACCTAGTGCAAGGTTGTCTCCTAATTTTTAACTAGTAGGTAAAAGTTAGTTAAGGTGCAGATAAGCAGGTGTTTTGTTCGCTGTAAAGCCAGATACAGACGGCATGCAAGTGTGTTACGAACGCGCGAGCAACAACGTCCGTCTGTGGCTGAAACTCTCACATCGACGTCGTAAAACTGCGTCGCGCATCTACTCCAAAACTTTATGAAATCATCTTCGCACGCGGTGATAATTTACCGTGCATGTTTTAAGACAAGTCACTCCGTCTGTGTCTGGCTTAAGAAAACACAGATAAATTTTATCGAACACACAAATTCGATAAAACGGAAACAATAGGCATAGCAGACACTAAACGGGTTTTTTCTGGCGGATGTTTTTCGGGTGTATGGCAGTCAGCGGTAATCGATGCTTTTTGGAAAGACAGTAGGTTTTCATAGTTCATAGCAGTTATCGCATAAGGACGCCTTTCTTTAAGGTTTTCCAAGTTGCCCGCAATAGCACCTGGTGTGTTGTGTTAGTGCGTCTGTTTAAACAAAATCGTCTAATGCAGATATTCCAGTGGCGAAGCTGTAGCCCGTAGCTGTACTCTTTTGGGTCGGACAACGCCCAGTTAGCCCCCCCCCCCCCCAACCTCCTCAATCCACAAAATCCACCACACTGTTTGGCATACGTCGCGCCCCAGAAAAATGGCAAAAAAGTGGTGGAGATGCACCCCTGTTAGTCCCTACCGAGCACACATCCCCACGACAGCTAACTAAATGCTGGTAGGGGCAGCTACGCCGCAGGCATATGCCAAAGTATAGAGTATCAATTCAGCTCTCCGTCAAAACAAAAGACTTATCAACTTATAGCAACATTAAGTAAACACCAAATTGATGAAAATTGGGGCTGTTATACGAGACCTAAGTTGAGCAAACGGACTATATCTAGGTTTATTCCGTTAGCAACGAGAAGTTCTTTTTATTATAGCACCAGAATTAAGCCGAATTATATTACTTTAAACTCTTCAAAGTAGTATTTAGGCATTCAACTTGTGATAATCATACCCAAAGGGGCCAAAGGTCCGTGATAGGACAGGACAGGTTCAAAAGGTTCATGTAAATCTACTGTGCCATACCTATACACTTGGTTAACATTTTGATGGTATCTCGATACATCTAAAAATAGCAACTGGTTTCTTTCTTTAGTTCTAATAACTGCCGAAAATCTATAATTCTATTAAATGTATCCTTTTACAAGATTTAAATACCTACCGTTTGACTTTTATTTGAGCAAAAGTTAATTCGGTGAATTCGTTTAGATTGCCTTTTCAGCAAGCAAGCACATTTGCTAATTTAAACATAAATTAGTTTTAATCTTTTTTGCTCTATAAACGATGAAAGGAATCTGACCTACTCATAGCTGCCCATCCGGTTTTTAAAACATCAAAAAATCTTTAAAAGCTTAATTTACTAACAGCTGTCAACAAAGGTACTGCTAACTATATCATTCAGTCATATTTTGCATAAATATGCTTATATAATAATTATAGATTTTCTGTGACCTTTTGCATTTATGGAAATAGACTTATATTTGGATCATAAATTCGTAGTTTGGGTACTTTTATCAATATCAACGCCATACAGTTATTTGGAAAACCGTTTACTTATGTAAATTTAATGATTTATGAAGTACTAGATAAACGCATCGTTCAAGTCTCAGCCAAAATTAACCTTTAACATCAATAAATTGAATTAAATCATTTTTCTGCTAAATTCAAGAATAAATTTAGTAATAAATTCTGACGGTCTGAATAAATTTACATGTACCAGTAATTATTTCAACAAAAATCGTTAAGCACGGTTGCGTTTGAATTCATCAGATACACTAATAATAATAGTAGTAATATTTGTATGTCCAACACTGCCAACATGGGATACATCATAAGTAAACTAAATTGCAATAGGTTCAAAAACACTACAAACATAATATTTATATAAGCGTTTGCATTTAAAATAATTTTGTGCATAGGTAGGTAGTTTAAGTTTGAAAAAGTTGCGTATTTTGATGCTGAACAAAATACGCAACTTTTCCAAATTTATAAACTGCCTACCTATCTCTTATAGTTGCCGAGATCCCAATGGTGGCCTTCGAATTTGAATCAGCCTGTATATACATTCACTATCACACTTACATTAGATATACAAACTCAAGGTATGTATGTACTCTCTGAATTAAGTAAAATCCATTTTTAATTAAAAACCGATAGACAGCATTTTTAAATGGTTTGTTTTGTCGATCTAATTTGTTATAAAGTATTGCCCCCATATAAAATGGGTTTGGCCAACAGAATCCTAGTTGATGCAGCCATATTCTGATTGCATTTACCCTTACTAACAAACTTACATTTTTAAATACGTAAATAAACAATATTTTCAAGCAAAACAATGAAAAGTGGGCTAAATATATACATACAGAAAAATAAGGCTGTAGAGTGCATCATGATGCTCTAAAATCCTAGCTATATTACTAAAGTTAGTGTTTTTTCACTTACCGTGCTGAGTGAATGAGAATCCAATGTTCGAGGGATTTATTCTATTGCAGTCCTTTCATTTTCATCATTAATTTCATTTTTACTAATCTGCGTAAATTCCAGAGGACGGAAACGCATCTGCAAGAAGAAATGGATTAAGCGTGGAGTAGACAACTAACAAAGTAGTCGTTTTAAGATTTATCTCAATGTAATTGAAGTTCAAATTGCATGTAGAAAAATAAGAAAATTATACACTGCTATGTCACCACCCCTGATTAACGATGTTCCGTCTGTTTGTTCGTACGCGTGGTAAATTTGTTTAGAAACGTCCGATCGCTTTGAAATTATGGTACACATGTTTTTATGACGTCCGTGGTAGTTACCACGGTCATTAAAAGCACTAACTTCGGTACATGATCAGTGCTTCATTTGTGCCTCTTAGTGCTTTATAACTTGCATCAGCACGACCGGCCGTTTCCGAGAAATCGACCCCCTCCCCTCCTTGTGTACTGGTGACTTCCTACCCTAGTTGAAAGCACTAACGACCGGCCAAGTACTAATCGTTAGTTCTTCGTTAGTGCCTCTTAGTGTTTCATAAGTTGCATCAGCACGACCGGCTGTTTCCGACAAATCGACCCCCACTTGTGTAGTGCTGACTTCCTACTCTCGTTGAAAGCACTAATGGTCGGACCAGTGCTAATCGTCAGTGCTTTATAACGTGCATCGGTACGGCCGGCCGTACATGATCATATAGTCAGTGTTTCATTAGTGGTTCTTAATGGTTTGTAACCGTCAACAGAATGACCGATTTCCGACAAAACACTTGAACTTCCAATCTCTACTTGGAAACATTAGTGAGCCAGAACTATCAATATTATAGGATCCATGCCGATTGCTAAGCGTTTGTTATATAGGGCGCAAGGTATGAAGATGAGTAATTTGCTTTAGTTCAATACAGGGTGTGAATAAGTGCGATAAACTTTAAGGGGTAATTTTCCATGAAAAAATACAGTTTTCTATATAACTCTTGTCCACAAATGCTTCGTTTTCCGAGATACGGGGGTGTTTTGCTTCTTTTTCCTATGGAGCGTCGTTTTTATGCAAAATTATGAACATAAATTTCTTAATTCAATTCTATTCTTGAAGGTCTAAACATATGTCAACTTATAAATGAGCCTACCCGCATTACCCAAAATTCTGCAACGATATTAGATTTAATTCTCACCAACTGCAGGGAAATAGTCGCGCAATCTGGTGTAATAAATCTGGACAAAGTAACTGACCACTTACTGACTTATTGTGTTCTTACCATAACTTTCAACAAGTCTTCTAAAATTATTACACACCGGAGTTTTAACGAATTTAACTATTTACAATTTACATATCATCTACAATCTATTCCTTGGCGAAACATTTATGACATATCCACAATTGAAGGGAAGGTAACTTTTTTTGAAGAAAATATAACTACTTTACTCGACATACATGCGCCATTCAAATCATCTCGTATTATAAAATCATTCTCTCCGTGGTTAACTGATACTATTAAACAAATGATGCATTTACGTGACTCGGCTTTGTCTAAATTTAAAAGAACTAGGTTAGATCGGAATTGGGAATTTTACAAACAGCTACGTAATGAGACCAACAGTGCGATTCGACGTGAAAAGAAGGCGTACTTTGATCACCCATACAACACAACTAATTTTAAAATTCTGTGGCAGGATATACTAAAACTAACACATTCAAAACGTGAACAAACGGAAATACCGGAAGATCTGTCAAACCCTAACGACTTTAATGAACATTTTTTAAATGCTGTACCTAATCGCAAATTTAACAATCAGTTACAACTACAGTTTTACCTAAATAATACAAAACACCCAGCAAGTTCTGTTCTTATTTTCCAACCAACTACTGAAGACGAAGTGCTTAAGGTTATTAACGCTATGAAATCTACAGCCACTGGAGTAGATGGTATTAATTTAAGAATTATCAAACTTTGTGTACCGTATCTACTTAAGTTTATAGTACACATGATCAACTTTTGCTTAAGAAATTCGCTATTTCCGGCACAATGGAAACTTGCTTATATTATCACTGTAGCTAAGAAATTATCTCCATCTAATCTAAATGATTTTCGTCCAATCAGTATTCTACCAACTTTATCGAAAATCTTAGAAAAAGTAATTGAAAAACAAATTAGAACTCATTTGTCCTTAAATAAATTAATCCCGGATGTCCAATCTGGATTCAGATCTATGCACAGTTGTTGCACTGCTCTTTTGAAAATTGTAGATGATATAATTTCCGCACTGGACCAGGGGAAAGCAACTATTCTTGTTTTGCTAGATCTCTCTAAAGCATTTGATACGTTAGATCACGCCATGCTTCTAGCTATTTTACATTACGTACGTTTCAGTCCGGGAGCCATAGCCTTGATTGACAGTTATCTTTCCAACAGGAAACAAGCAGTTAAAATCTCAGGTAAAATATCGACTTTTAAAAATGTCACCCGGGGAGTACCACAAGGGTCCATTCTTGGACCATTATTGTTTCTTATTTACACATGCACCATAGTAAATTGTCTTCAATATACCACATTACATTCTTATGCTGATGATACGCAGATCTACTATTCATTTCCAGCTGCAGATGTAGGTAACGCTTGTAAACGCATAAACGCAGACCTAGATGCTTTGCAAAACACATTTCAATCTCACTCTCTACATTTAAATTCAAGCAAATCTATTGCAATATTGTTCAGCGGCGCAAATCAGCGGGAAATGCTAATGTCTCAAATCAATATTAATATTAGGAATGAAGCGATTACTTTTAAAGATGTTGTAACTAATTTAGGTCTTAATCTTGATAATAAATTGCGTTTTAAAAACCATATTTCTATTTGTCTCCAAAAAGCCTACGGCAATCTTAAAAAGATTTACTCTATTAGACACTCTTTAAATACAAACATAAAAACTCTTCTTTGTGAATCTCTAGTCCTTTCTAAGTTGAATTACTGTGATATACTTTATAATACTTGTCTAGATACTAATGATGAACGGCGCATTCAAAAGTTGCAGAATGGTTGTATGCGATTAATTTTCGGCATAAGGAAATATGATAGAATCACGTATAAATTGAAATATTTAAATTGGCTCAATATGAAAAATAGGCGACTGCATCATAGTCTTGTGCTTTACCATTCTATCATCCTAAATAAGACACCGGCGTACCTCCATGATAAAATAACCTATAGAACCGACGTACATAATTTAAATTTGAGATTTAGGGGTTTAGTAAGTCCGCCACTCCATCAAACAGCTTTATTTCAAAGATGCTTTAGTTACAACATCTACAAGAGTTATAACCCACTCCCTCTAAATCTCAAATCACTTTCTTTAAAACAGTTTAAGAGGAACTGCAAGATGTTCATACAACAAAAGCAAGCACAGTAGCCAGGTGATGTTGCAATTGTTATCTGTAGTTCAAATGTGTGTTTTCTTTTTTTTTCTCTTCGTCTTTTCTTAAGATCATCAGTAGTATAGTTACTTTCTTTTTCTTTCCGTAAGTAGGTAGTATAGTTACGTTGTTTTTTTTTTTTGTTTTTTTTTAATGGTATCTTCATTTAAACTTTCAATTTTGGGTTGAGTGGAAGAGCAGGGAGTAATAATTTTTATTACAATCTGAACTCCGCCCTTTGAGTAGTGAGTAGTTGGTAATAAAAACAAACTTTTTTTTTCGTGTAAGGTGTAGCTCAATAAAGGCATTATTATTATTATTATTATTATTATTATTAATTGCTTGTCAACAAATGCGCAATAACTATATCTTCAAACGTGGCCGTTCTGTTTGGCAGGCAGTCGTATTTTAGCGTATATTTGTTGCAAGACAGTCGCTTTTGCCACTTATAAAGGTGTTATAGAAGAAAAGTCCGTTGTGCTCTAAGAGATCTAACACGTCATTCAAAATGACTGTATAAGTCGGATTAAGTAGAAGCCTATAGTGCGCTTACGAACAAGTTATTCGGATTGTTGTCGTTCGAGCGTTTATCGCCTATGTGAAGTCTTTCTCAGTAACCGTTAAAGGGAGTTTTTCCATCATCAAAGAGCCAATTTTACATCAGTAATTTTAACGAACCCAGTGTCATAAAAATCGAGATTAGTTTAACCTACAGAAGTGAGGTTCAAGAAGTAACATCAGCTAAGGCTGCTGAGGGTCCCAACTTAACAAATGTATTATCGAGATTTTTCGTAGTATCGGGTGCTGGACGTACCCTGGAAAAAATATAATCATATCGTATCAAAGATTTTTTTAGTACCTGTGTTTAATTGGGCTAGCCTGGGCAGGTGCTTTTGGGTGGTTTAGTGACCGTCTGCCATTGAACATAGAAGTATTAAATATTCAAATCCAATTAATCTAGTGAATTTTATGGGAATCGAATAAGTTTCCTAATTAAGTATTAAAGCTACTACCTCTTCCCCATTTACTCGTGTGCCTTTTCTCCAAGCGGGGTATTTCGTTAATAAATAAGTAAATATTGTTCTATTTACTAAAGTTCCTAAATTACCAAAGTAACGCGAATAGCAGTCATTTTGGCTCAGTTTGGGAACCGCGAAATTTGAAATTGGACAACAGTTGGAAAGTATGTATTTTGTAGTCGCTCTTGGATTGTGCGGATACTTGGATAGGGTAAGTTTTGTGAGCGTGTCGTTTAATAGCCTTCAACATCACAAGAAAAATATAGTTGCATCGCTTTTTTAATCGTTTCACCACTCCACATAAAACCCTTGTATATACCCAATTCTAAATAATTTAATTGATATTAGTTAAAAGTTTTCGAAAAGTTGTCTTCACTTCTGAGTAATTTGTTTTTTCGGTTTCTGTTTTCTTGCAAAAGTGCCTAGATGCGCTTCTCTAATTAATTAATGGTTACATCGGTACTATTATAATACAAAACAACATAATGTCAAACCTGACACTAAGTGTCAAACGGCCATTTTGGCTCAATTAGTAGTTTGTTTTTGTCTAATACACTAGCCTAATGAATCGCGTTACTTTAGTAATCTAGGGACTTTACTATTTACCTTCCTGGTGCGCGCATTTTTTATCAAGAGCAAACCGGAGCAACCAAATACAAGAAACGAATCTCATCCCTTGGTTTATTACACCAACCATCAACGAAGTATTTCTGGACATTAGTACTACTATCACTCCTCCACTTGAAAATTTGGGGCGCCTAACTCTTCTAATACACTTAACATGTCAGACAAAACTTCAAATGCGAATATCTCAAAAACTGTGTGTTGGGAGAGGGTATTCATAAAGGGAAAATAGAAGGTATGGATAAGACCACACCTAAGACTCAATTCTTGAACTGCAAGATAATACATTTGGACGTACATAACCAAAGGCGGTTCTCAACAAAACTGTGTACAACATTTTGTAGGGCTCACGACAGTACACATACATTATGTTGCAACAACGTCGTGAGTCGAACCGCCCGACGAACCACGCCGCGCGCTTCTTGACGAACACCAATGCAACGAACATGACTGCATACCGAACCGCGTCGCGTAACCGGATTGTGCAACAAAATGACGACCCAGTACGAGTACGTCGTTATGCCCGTCCAAACATGCGTAACTTCGTCGTGCGCAATTCTTTTGATGTCGCGTTGAAAAACCGACAGAGCCCGGATCGGGTTGAGTTGCGAGCTGTAACGCTTATCAGGTTCGCGACGGCGCGCGTTCGTTTCACCGTCTACACTAGCGCAGCACGGTTCGTCGCGCGGTTTGGCTCGCGACGTTGTTTCATGTCTGTACATGCCTTTAAGTAGCTCGACGCATCCAGTACTTTTGAACTTGTTTTAATAGTTGTCGAAACTACAATTTTTTTTTTCATTTCTTCAAGGCGATTTCAACAAATTAGTTTCTAAATGGGCCTAAAAGAAGCCTTTACCATGCGAGTTGGCTATCATTAAATTAAACGTTTCTTGTAAAATCTAGAGCTATAAGCCTACCAAGTAAATCCGTGCGTTGTTTGCTATATTGTAGCTAGAAATATTGTAGAAATCGGATAGACATGGGATCGCCACCAGGTGCCATCAAACCTATGGAGATTAGTCACCGGAGATAAAACATTAAGGCGAATGTGACGCGATCTTTCCGGGAAATGTGATCTGCTTATTCGGTATATGTTCCACAATTTTTCTAGAAACTTTTCGTTTGCTCTATAAGCAAATTGAATTGTGTTTAATAGAAGTTCCAACATCGACACCGAATTGATGTCTAGTTATTTCGCGCTCGTTTGTTATAAATCTACATGATAAATTTTAGTATAAATGATAAATAATAATTTTCTGTAATAAATCAATCTATTTCAGGGCGATTATAAATTCATCTATATAAATAAAAATGAATGTTTGTATGTTTGTATGTCCCTTATGCCTACCTAAACCGTTCATCCGATTGCGATGAAACTTTGGGGAATAGTTGAAGGTATGCCCGGGAAGGTTTCTATATAATAAAAGAAATTCCGTCTGTCTGTACGTACGATTGGCCCTTACGCTTGCCTAAACCATTCATCCGATTGATACGAAACTTTGGGTAATGATTGGTCATATTTCAAGGTTTTTATGTAGGTAAGTAAATAAAATTGTATTCGTCCTGTCTCTTATGATGCCACTGCCAGCTGCCTAAACCGTTTATCCGATTGCGACTAAACTTTGGGGGTTAGACGTACGTCCCTAAACTGTTCATCCGATTGCAGGACGAATGACTGCGAAAGTATATAAAAATGAATCGCCGAAAATTATTTACGATCAAATTAGATAGTTCTTTTTTTGTTGTGCTTGCGTTATCGAAACATGTGACGCTCTAAGCTAAGGGAAGCAAATAGGACACTCTTTTCTTAAAAATGAAACCAAAGAATAGCCTAATTAATTTACGAAAATAATCGTCAAGATATAAAATATAAATTCGTACCTACCTACCCTACATCTGCAGCTGATTTAAAAACATGTCCGCAAATTCTATTTATAAAAAGGGCAAGGTTTGCCGTGACTACACAATTCATTTCAACCTGTCCCTTTGAGGACGACCCAACATGCAATTAAGCCATAAAGGGATTAAATTTACCAAAGGTTTAAGAAGTAATTTAAGATTTACTATAAACTACGGTAGGTACGACCAGGTACTCATTGGTACGGGCTTTCTCTCGCTTGGAAAGAGTGTCCAAGATAAGGATGTCTATCATGGAGATCGAAACCATGGAAGATACGATGATGGTCAAATTAGAGAAAAGATGCGCAATTAAACCATTAATATCGTGCTTTAGAGAAAACAAAAAAAATCCGATTACTTCCGAAGATATGACAGAAAAAGTGAAACTTGCCGATCTTATGTTTATGTTTTGCTGGTTTTATTTGAACAGATACAACAAGAAAGACAAAAGATACTTTCTCATTGCCACTTTTTGAACTCTACAAGACAGCACACGCGCACAACTTGCGAGCATACCTATCGGATCAATTCCTGGAAAATAGAAAAAATGTTAGATACGTATACTTGCACGATTAAGATGTTGTGAGTAGATGCACCATCCTGTTGAAACCAACAATTTCCAACTTTTGTTTTTATTTGTGTGACGTATATAGTTGTATTCGTAATCAAAAGTGCTACTAAATACAGTGTGTACTTTTTCCACGGGCCATATAAAAAAGTATAGTTTGTTATAATTTCTCCGAAACAAAACGTTGTATTAAAAATCTTCCAACGGTGCTCAAAAAGGGGCAAGTATTTTTTGGGAACAAGAAAACGGCAGTTCTAGGTTCTAATGTAAACCCGAGTGTCTTCAAAAAGTTGATGATCGAGTCCAATACTCCACAGAATTCCTTCCGCTTTTGAGGTTTCGACTAGAACCAGCAGGATTATATTGTGCCAGTAGAAAGGTCAAATACCGCACTTACAACGCCACCTGACCACTGAATTCATTACTTCTTTCAGGGCAAAACCCTCTATCGAAGCATTTCTTGCAGAATATTCAACATTATAACTGATATGTATTCCAAATGACATCATTTTTTGGTGCAAATATAATTCGGGAAAGGGGTTTCAATGCAAATTTTAAGGTATTATTTTTTCTGTAACCAACATCATACACATCCATTTCAACATGTAACTACGAATACGAACATTATAAACACCCGTGCGAAGCCGGGTCGAGCAGCTAGTTAATAATAAAATGTACCTAGGTAAATAACACACAATTAAGTTTACATTACAATATCGTACAATTCGTAATGAACAATGTCTTGAATTAACACATTTTCTTATAAGTACAAACGATATTAGGTATACTGCCATACAACTATTAAAGTAAAGTACCTACGTACATACATACCTACTGCATCTCGTATTATGTATGAATGTGCTATTACAGTTCAAATTAACGGTGAATGATAAAAAACCGCAGATAAGTACCTACAATAACACCTTGCTACCTAATGAATTCCGCTACAAAATGGGCAATATTTTCGTTTGTATATAAGTAATTCGCTAATATCATAAGCTTGTGTAATCTAATTAAGTTAAGTATATTAAACTGGAAGATTATCAGGAACGCACGCTGCATACCTACTTTAAACGGATGAATGATCAACCATCGGATTAAGAAACATGCACATTTTACTTAACATAACTCGCAAATTCCTCTAGTCCATTTATAGTCAACACGCCAAGTTACTGAAAAGCCACAAGTTTATAATGTTATTTTTTTAATAATTACCCTTTTTTCCTGTCTCCACTACTCGTTAATTGTTTAATTAGCAAGCATTACGTACGCATTATTGGTATAATAAATTATGCTGAATAAAAACGCAATTGTTTACCCGTTAGTACCATGTCACGTCTGGAAAGGAAACTATTTGTTATAATTAATAAACAATAAAACATGTTCTGTCAAAGTATGCGTGTTAATTACTGATACTCGGAAGCTTGTGCTACTTGCTATTAGATCTATCAGAGTGGATTCTATGACGTGCATTATACGATTAAAGTTTGTCTCTCTCCTTCTCACTTCCGTCATCTTACATGCGAATAGTGCGACCCAGCCCAGAGATATCAAATCTCAAAACCTTTCTCATTTTCGTTGGCATATTTCTGGTAGAAGAAAGTTTGAAGTTCTTACTGAATGGCGAGCACAGCACATGCAGATTCTTTGCATTTTATTTACCGCATAGGCGGAACGGATTACTGTGTTTGGGTGTGCAATGAGCTACAACCGCAATCGATTTCTTCATTCCTTGTAACAGGACTGCAAGTCTGCTACTGCAAATTTGTTCCATCGTCCATGTATAGCAGTGCAGTACAAACTGCATTTTGTTTACTTATTTTAATCACTGGTTTAATTATCGATACGTAACTGTGGAACACCCTCTCACAATCGACTAATTTCAAGCTAGAATTGTTTGTTTTTTTGAGAGCATATATCTACATATTTTTATGCCACACAGTTTTAACATTTTATGTGCAAAAATATTACAATGGCAAGCTAAATTTCTTTTATTTAAATGATTAGATGAAATGATCTATTTTGATTTTATCGTCATTTTTAGCGATTTTCCTCAAAGTGTAAAGTCGCTATTGGCTGCACTTTGTCGTCCATCCGTCTGTCCGTCTAATTTTTTTTATTTATGAAGATAGTTAAATGAAACTTTATATGTAAACACTACAAATATAAGTAAAATTAACGACGTTTTCAAAATGTTGTTTTGCGCATGCGCAATGTCAACTTTCCTATTTATGAAAGTATTTAAATAAAATTGTATACATAGGCTTTTGGAATAAAGACAAATATAACACCAGTTGCAAAATTTAGTTTTACGCATGCACAATGCCAACTTATTTACGGAACCATTTAAAGGAGATTTAATACATGGGGACTTGGAATACAAGCAAATCTAACACCTGTTTTAAAATTTGGTTTTACGCATGCGCAATGGCAACTTTCTTGGTTATGAAAGCAGTTAAATGAAATATCATACTTTGAATGAAACTAAAAGTAATACTGGTTTCAAATTACTCTTTGCGCATGCTGTATGTTTTATTTATCACCGTCGGCTAGCAAAAGACGGGTTATGTGCTGTGTAACCCTTTCAGTGCTTCTATATGCGGCCCCAGTCTGGAAAGAAACGGCAGGTGTGCTAAAATATAAGAATATGCTCCTGAGCTGTCAACGACGCGCAGCCCTCCGCATATGTTGCGCGTGCAAAACGGTGCGGTAATGCTTGTAATCGCTGGAGTGGCTCCGATAAACATACTGAGAAAGCGCACAAATCTACGGCATGAATAATGAAGAAAAAAATACACAAAACAAACACAATAAAAGCGTGGAAAAGGGAATGGGAGCAACTAACAGGTAAAGCGGAATTAACAAAAATGCTGATAAAAGACCTAGAAGTATGAATGAACAGACGGCATGGAGAAGTAAATTATTATCTCACACAATTCCTGTCAGGGCATGGACAATTCGACACATATCTACATAGGTTTAAACTAAGATCTTGCTATAAATTTTTATCGAAGGCGTAGCAATTATAGTTGCTAGGTAGATTGAGAGAATAAAGAAAGTTCACTCAAATTGGTTAGATTATTTTATTAAAAAGTAAACGTTTCTAATTAAAAGAATTAGAACAATCTAATGAAAAATGTATGTACTGCGAAATGACACACGGCGGAACACACAATATTACGGTGTACATGATTTACAGAAGAGCGCAAGAAAACCAAAGGTATATATATGCAGACATAGGTATAGAGAACATCA